CGCCTCCAGCGCCGGGCAAACCACTCGCGCAGCTCCTGTGGAGAGAGTGGCTCCCGCCGAGAAGAAGCACCCAGAGAATCTCCAGGCCCAGCACCGCCAGACGCCACACGAGCAGGCCCAGCTCCCTCAGGCTCCGCACCCCCAGGCTCAGCACCTCCAGGCGTAGCACCCCCAGGCTCAGCACCCCAAGGCGTAACACCCCCAGGCTCAGCACCCCCAGGCTCAGCACCCTCAGTGGTAGCACCCCCAGGCTCAGCACCCCCAGGCTCAGCACCCCAAGTAGTAGCACCCTCAAGCTCAGCACCCCCAGGCGTAGCACCCACACGCTCAGCACCCCCAGAGTCAGCACCCCCAGGCTCAGCACCCTCAGCAGCACCAGAGTCACCAGTAACCTCGACAGGCTCGACTGCGTCTACCTGGGACACACCTGAAGGGGCAGGACCCTGAGGGGGGAGGGGGTCTACCGGGGGGGGACCTGGCACAAGGAAGAGCGGTGGCGGGGGGAGGGACGGAGTGCGGTAGGGGAAGAGGCGGTAGTAGGGGACCGACTCGTCAAACGTGACGTCCTGGGAGGACAGAACACGGCGAGAGGTGGGGTGGTAGAACTGCCACCCTGGCGCGTCAGGGGGGAAGCCAAGGAAGACGCAAGGAGCAGCACGAGGGGACAGCTTGTCCGCAGACACGTCCATGACCATGCCAATGCGGCGCTCAGCAATCCCATTCTGCTGTGGAGAGTCCGGAAGCGTGAAGGTCTGGCGGATGCCTCGTGCACGACAGTAGGCTCGCAGAAGGCTAGAGGAGAACTCTCCGTCTCTGTCAGAGTGCAGACGTAGAACAGGAAAGTCCGAGCCGAAGCTCTGCCTGAGCTGGAGACGAGCTGCGCGGATTCAGTCGATCAACACCTCAGTGACATCACCCTTGCTGCGCAAGGGGAAGAGTGTGGTGTAACGCGAGTAGTCGTCAACCACCAGCAGGAAGTAGCGCTCGTGACCCTGTCCACGGACGCGGGCCGGGCCCCACACGTCCATGTGAAGCGTCTGCAGCGGGGCCTCTGTCGGAGGAAACTGGGAGGAGTGAGGGGCAGCCCGCTGGCGCCCCTCGACACAAGGGACGCAGGTAGGGCCAGGCCCCGGAGGAAGGGGAGGGAGGGACCGGGGAAGACCAGAGACAAGGACACGAGAGGCCATGCCTCGGAGACGAAGAAGGGAGGGGTGACCAAGACGGTGGTGCCAGAGGAGAGTCTCGTGAGACAGGAGGCGACACGAGCAGGGGGCAGACTCCGAACCAGACCTGGAAGCTGCAGCAAACACCTGACCCGACGCAGCTACCTGACCGGACGTAGTGACTGGAGGAGACGCAGTGGTCAGTGTGTACAGGCTCGACCCCGGCCGACGTGTAAACGTGGCCAGGTGTCGGCCTGTCCGAGCGTCCGTGCAGTGGGTCACCCGCTGACTCGCAGGAGTGAACTGGTGAACCCCCGCATCCTGTAGGTCAGCACCACTCACCAAGTTCGTAGAGAACGAGGGGAGGTAAAGACCAGACAGGGTGCCAGAGGGGGCCGCCAGACACGGGAGGACAATGGAGAAGTGAGTAAGGACAGGATCCCCAGAGGGGTCTGCCAGAGATACTGCAACTGGCCGGCCAAGCGGCGTGAGTGTGGTGCGGTCTCGAAAGAAGGAGCGAGAAGCCCCCGAGTCAAGGGTGAAGGTGTGGGAGGCCAAAGCCGACGCAGTACCTGAGAGAGCAGACTCACCAGCACCTGAGGGAGCAGACGCACGAGCACCTAGAGCGGCAGCCTCGCTAGCACCTAGAGTAGCAGCCTCACCAGTACCTAGAGCAGCAGTCTCAATGCCCGGGTCAGGCGGAAAACACCGGTAACAGTCACCCTCATCACTAATAGTCACAGCATACATGGCAGCAAGAATAGCATCAAAGTCAAGGTCAAAGACAGCTACTACCGCCCTAGACAGCTCGCCCCAGCGGGGGATCTCAGTGGCCTCAGGGAACTGGTGACGCCAAGCGTCCGTCAGGCGGCCAAAGCAGCGCTGGGTGGAGTGCGCACCCCCGCACTGCTCACCTGCGCGGTCGCCGGTGCGTAGGACGTAGGTGCACGGACCAGTACCCCCACCCCACTGGCGTGCAGCGTACCACTCACGGAGCTGCTGAGGGGGGGGGATATAACGAGTGCGCTGCTGCTGCTGGCGCTGACCACCACCGGAGCCGACCCTCTGCGCAGCGCCACCCCGACCAGCTCCACCGCCTCCGCCACCGCCTCCTCCACCGCCGCCATCTCCGCCACCTCCGCTCCCACCGCCACCACCGCCGCCGCCTCCGCCTCCACTGCCGCCACCGACACCTCCACCCCCGCCACCACCCCCACCGCCACTCCCACCCCCTCCGCCGCCTCCACCGCCGCCTCCACCGCCCCCGCTAGCTCCTCCAGCGCCCCTGCCCCCCTTGCCCTTGCCAGGGCGGCGTCTCCCGCTAGGGGTAGACGCCGCATCGACCGACTCAAGACCAACGAGGTTGGCCGCAGCAGCAGAGGCAACAGAGGGCAAAAGGGGGGAGGGGGAATACCCCTCAAAGATGGGGGTGCGAGGGTCACCACGAGAGGCTCCTACAGCTACTATGCTCTTCTTTGCTGCTAGGAGGGCCTTCTCGAGGAGGTCAACAGTGAGAGTGGTGGGGCAAACTGAGAGGAAGTGGTCCCTGACTACGCGAAGGGAGTCAGGGAGGCGGGTGACTATGTAGTAGAGGGTGATGTACATGGGGGGGGGTTCTTGGCGCAGAAATCAGCAGGAAGCGCAGCGCGGTAGCGAGTGTCCCTAGTGCGGAGGTGCGTAATGAGGCCAGCGACTGTGGGAAAGGCAGCTAGGTCAGGGAAGAGGTACGGTAGCATGAGGCGGCTCAGTGCGGCAGTGGCTGGGGAGGAGTAGCATGCAACTACAGCGTCGTACAAGGTCTGAGCACTCTTGTACTGGCTAATGTGCGCACGCTCAGAGGTAGGAAGGTGGTGACGCACAGCAAGACGTGCAGCAGCATCGCGTGTGGCCCACTGTGAGCGAACAGTGGCGTCAGCATGAGCAGCAGGGGCAGGAGAGGCACCAGAGGTGAGGTCAAAGAGGGAGAGACCGTCTGCCCTATCGCACTGTAAGAAAATCAGCAGGTCATCTAGGGTTAGCCATGACAGCAGTAGACTAGCAGCGCGAACAGTAGGGTAAGGGCAGTGCAGTGATAGAGGCGCTGCTCTTACCGGACAGAGCGGCTCGGGCGGCTCGGCAGTACGGCGGCTCGGCAGCAACTGCGGCTCGGCGACTCGGCGGCTCGGGCGGCTCGGGCGACTCGGCGGCTCGGGCGGCTCGGGCGGCTCGGGCGGCTCGAGCGGCTCGGCGACTCGGCGGTTCGGGCGGCTCGGCGGTCGGCTGCTGGGCTGCTCGGAGGCTCGACGGTTTAGCTGCTGGGCGGCTCGGCGGCTCGGCTGTTGGGCGGCTCGGCGGCTCGGCTGCTCGGCTGCTGGGCGGCTCGGCGGCTGGTGTGGCTAGTGACGACCGCAGCAGCAGTCGGAGGAGCTGTGGCGACTGCTGCTGCAGAGACGGCGGCGGCTGCTGCCTCAGGGACGGCGGTGGCCGGCCGCTAAGGGCCGCATAGGGCGGCGGAGAGGTCGTGAAGGGCGCCACGAGGGGCCGCCGAGGGCGGCGACGGGCCGTGAGGAGGCCGCGGAAGGCGGCTCGAGGGGCCGCGAGGGGGCCGTAAGGGGCCGACGGGCGGCGGGAGGGGCCGTAGGGGCCGCGGGAGGGCCCGTAAGGGTAGCGTGAGGGGCCGTAAGGGGCCGTAAGGGGCGGCTCGCTGGGCCGTAAGGGCGGCGTTAGGAGCCGTAAGGGCGGCACGAGAGGCCGTAAGGGCGGCGCGAAGGGCGCGACGGGCCGTAAGGGCGGCGCTAGGGAGCCGTGAGAGGGCCGCTAAGGGCGACGCGACGGGGCCGTGAGGGGCCTAGCGAGGGCGCGACGGTATGGAGAGCACACGGGGCGCGACTCGGGCCGGAGCGAAGCGCGCTCCGGGCAGGATAAAAAATTTAGTGGTGGTGGGCCCTAGGAATCGTTCCCACTAGGGAACCTGCTCGATACCATGAGAAGAAACGAGGAATGAAAATGACCAAGGGAAAGTTGGGTACAAGTACAAACCCTTCAAAGCTGTACCCCATATGTGCTACCCCACTATAGCCTACAGTAGCTATGTCATATAAATCTGACACCTAGTGCTACGTCTGGTGGGCAGTCGGGTCTCCGTTGCCTTCATGCAAGTGAAAACACGAACTATCGGAGTCGGGCAGGATTGAATTAACAATCCCTGCAGCCAACCGTCGTGTAGTCACTAAACCAGCCACACCCTATGCCACCAAACTATCCTCGGAAAAGCGGGGTGAACTAGGAAAGTAGCTCTATTACCAGGTGTTATGAGTTGTAAAAGAGAGTGCGCAGGTAAACGAATAACGAGACTGTGACTGAATGAACTGAGAATACAATGAATGCACAGACTAATGTAGGGCTAGCCTAGCTAGGAGGAAACCTCGGACGAGCGAGGTTGGGTGCAGGTTTGGCGATGGAAATGCCGAAGGCGACGCGAGGAGCCTCGGCAGCGTTGCAATCGGCCGAACGTGCGAACTCCGAAAATCGGATTGTACACAAAGCAGTCAACCCCAATAAGAAATTCGGGAAAATTCCTTACAGTACGTGTAAATATGAGCAAAATAAGCTAGAGCAAGGAGAGGAAGTTGGCGGCAAATCAGAGGCGGTCTTCACAACCCACACAGTGCCCATTCCCTCCCCACATTATTTAAGGGCATGTATCTCCATACTCGAAGCAGTATGCAATGCAGCAACATTAACAGTTCACTAGAGCAACCTCTGCTTTGGCCATAGCTTCTTTCGCCTTGGCCAAGCTATTTATTGAAGACTGCAGGCCCCATTTTACAAGGATATAGCATCCATTCCGTTTCCTTGTCAACCCGTGGGCCGCACATGGCATGCGGCAACGCTCGTGCTCTGGTCGTAAAACACAGTGTCTCTTTGCGGCTTCTGCCCCAATGTTGGTCTTGTGAAGCACCGCGATTGGAAGACAAACCCCGAAAACGCTGATGTGGACGGAGCGAGGAAGAGCGACGCCTCTTTGGCAACCCCTTGTTCAAAAGCCGCTTGCATTTCATGTGAGGGGAATCTGTGGCTGATGTTGGGAATGAGCGTGTCTTTTGTAACCACGTGGTACGCTCCATGAAGCTCCTGCAGCACCGTTTTGTGCTCCATAGATCGACCCACCGTTACATAGAGCAGCATCTGCGAAGGATCCACATTGGCTAAAAGCGCCTCTCGAATCGCCGCTAGAACGCTCCCGCTGTCCCCGTCAGCACCAGCAGCAGCAACCCCACCACTCCTGCTCTCAAAATAATCCCCACCAGCCTCCGAACTGCTACCATTCTTCCCACCAGCTGCACCGGCCAAACCGCCGCCGCCATCCCCAAGCCCATCAGCAGCAGTGGCAGCACCAGCAGAATCGTCTCCAATATGCAGAGCCGCAAACTGGAACTGGGAGAGGTCGCCCCCAATGTGGTCCTGGAAGGCCTTGCGCAAGCGGTGCAGCAGCTGGGTGATGATGGCGCTCACGTCTGCTGAGGCGCGCAGCGCTGCCAGCCCGTTCTTCTTGAAGCGCTGCTGGTCCGGCGATGCCAAGGGCAGTGGCAGGTCCGAGTCGTACACCAGTAAGCGCACCTGGGGATGGGGAGGGGGGAAGGTGGTGGGGCGGGGAAGTTGTGGGGAAGTGGGGGTGGATGGGGGGTTCAGGACTGTTCGTGTGAAGCCCTGTTGACCACTACTCTCCCTCCCCCTCCCAGGCTCAGAGCCTCAACCCCAGGCTCAGAGCCTGAACCCCAGGCTGCTACGGCAGTGGAGGTGATTGAAAAGAGCTCTCTTTTTACGAATCTCACCTTGCCCTTGGTGGTCTCCTGTCGCACGGTCTCGAGCCAGCGCAGCAGCGCGGGGTTGTTCATGTCAGCACTGCCGGCCACTATCTCCCGGGGGATGCTGAGAGCCTTGGAGGCCGGCGCTGCTAGAATGGCGTCCACGTTGCGTGCGCTGGCGCCCACTGGTAGCACCTCCTGCACGCTGGCAGGGAGAGACTGCACTGCCCACACCTCTGCAGGGCGGATGGGAAAGGGTGGTGGGAGGTGGGAAATGGTGGGTGGTGGGTGGAGTGGGGGAGCGGGAGGTTGGGTAGGGAAGAAGGTGGGGGTGGGGGAGGAAGAGTTGGGGGGGAAGGGAGAAGGGTTGTGAGCGAGGAAAGGGGAGAAGGGTATGTGGTGGATGAACGAGAGGAGGCGCAGTTTTGTGGGCAGAAGATAGGTGTTGACGAGGTGAGAATGAATATGAGGACGAGAATAAGGACGAGGAGATGAAAATGAGCGAAAGGGGTGGGGGGGGGGGCGGGGGGGGGGGAGTGTAGTTGATGGAAGAGAAGCGATGGCTAGTGTTTCGGGCGCCTAAAAAACTTGCGAGTGAAGAGTGAAAGAGGGGGGGAAGGGGGGGTGGGAAGGGGTGGGGGGTTGTACCTGAAGAGCAGTACATCTGTTGAGGCCGTGAGGAGCGATGCATGAGCAGGAGAGATTGGGCAATGGCGGAGGACACAGGGGAAAGGAAGGGGGCAAGAGCGAAAAGAGAGGGAAGGAGACACAGAAAGGATGGTGAATGATCGGTACATTTGAGTCACACATGAGCAGGCAGTGTTACCAATGCAATTTGTACAACACCTGCGTCCCCTGCCTCCTGCTGACCCAAGCCACTCCCCTGCCACCCCACTCTCCATCCCTCCTCACCGGCCCAAACCGCTCTTGACCGCTCCCGACCACTCTCCACTACACAGCACGCACATGTGTGATGAGGTACTGAGCGTTGAAGAACTGCTCAAGGCTTGTCTCCTGCGAGGGGTGCGTGTCAAAGCTCTTGAAAAACGCCGGCAGCACCAGCACCGACCCTGTCGCCCTCGCTACCCACAGCGCCCGCAGCAGCGCCTCCTGCTGCCGCGTGTATCCCACGTGCGCTCCCCGCACCAGCAGGTAAGGCCACCCCGAGTGCTCCGCTGGAGAACGGGGTGGGGGAGGGGTTAAGGGGGAAGAAGGGGAAGAGCGGGAGGAGGGGGTGATTTGAGGCGGATTGGGAAGCTCCTGCTGCTGCTGCGTGTATCCCACGTGCGCTCCCCACACCAGCAGATACGGCCACCCCGAGTGCTCTGCTGGAGGAAAGAGGGGGGGGGCGGGAGAGGGGGGAGAGGTTGGACGGGCAAGAGAAGGTGGGGAAAATGGATTTGAGGCGGGCTGAAAAGAGGAAAGCTCTTGCTGCCGCGTCTACCCACGTGCGCTCCCCACACCAGCAGGTACGGCCACTTTGAGTGCTCCGCTGGAGGGTAGGAGGGGGGTTGGGCGGAACGGGGGGCTTGAGGCGGCTTACAAATGCTTTTGAACAGAGGCAACCAGAATACTCTGCCTCTTGAAAGACGCACAAGAGTGAACCTTCCAAAATTGTGGGAAGACGTACAAACTCCCTACTCTCTTTCTTGCCATGCCACGCGCCGCTCACCCATTCTCTGCACGCGTGTGTGGTCGATACACGCTCGGAACGCCGTTGCCATCATGCTGTCCCCCTCCTCCCCTCGCCCACCCCTCGCCCTCTCCTGCTGCCGTTGCTGCTGCTGCTGCTGCTGCTGCTGCTGCTGCTCCTGCTGCTGCTGCTCCTGCTGCTGCTGCTCCTGCTGCTGCTGCTGCTGCATTGGTTGTTGCTGTTGTGGTTGCTGTTGCTGCATCTGCTGCTGCATCTGCTGTGGCAGCGTGCGGGGGAGCGAGCCACGGAAGGTGCGGGGGGGATCAGGTTGACTCGTCTGGATTGGTTGTTGCAACAGCCGCTGGGCTGGCGTGGTGACAGCAGCAGCAGCTGCAGCACCAGCAGCAGCAGCAGCAGCAGCAGCAGCAGCAGAGGCGGAGGAGACGGAGGACAGGGAGGGGGTAGCAGAAGAGGAGAGCAGAGAGTGGAGGGAAAGAGGGGCGGTGGAGGCAGCAGCAGCTGCTGCAGCGCTGTTGGTGAGCCCAGGTGCACCAGCGTTAGCAACGCGAGCAGCAGCAGGGACAGTGGCAGCTGGGAGAGGCTGTGAATTTTCCAACTGCACCTGCATCTCTTGCTGCTGCTGCTGCTCCTGCTGATCCTGCTGCTCCTGGGGCTGCTGTTGCGGCTGCATCTGCTGTTGCGGCTGCATCTGCTGTTGCTCCTCCTCTGGTGCAGCCTGCGCTGCGTCCCCTTCCTCTTCTTGTTGCTGCCCAGGATCGCCTTCCCCCAGAGATGAAACGCCCGGAACAGTTACATCTGCGGGCGTGAGAGTGGGAGGGCGGTTATAAGAGCATTCTCTGAAGGGCACAAGGCAACACTCAAACTTTCTCTGCCTCTCAGGATACTGGCCTCTCAGACTCCTCCCCAACCAGCCCCCAATCTCACACTGCAATCCTGCCGATTCCTGCTTTCGCCGGGTTGCATGCACAGCCCAATGCCAGAGGGTTGACTGGCATAGACATGCGCAATGCACCTTCCTCCTCTACCCCCCCAGGCCCTAACGCAGTGAGACATGCATGCCCGAACATGCGATTCAAAATGCGTACACCCACGTGAGACATGCATTGGGATGGGCGGGATGGATGGGTGGGGATTAAACCCCACGCACTAAAGCATCCAAGCAACGTAGATGCATCGGAGCAAGGGAATGCGGGGATGTAGCCACGTGGCACTGATTGAGCACATGGCAATGCAGCACCGACTACACCAGTCCCCCCATTTCCACACCCATTCCCCTCCCCCCCTTCCCCCCCTCTCTCCCCACCCTTCCCTTCTTTCCTCCACAAACCCCTTCTCTTGCCGCTTGCTCCCCTTCATCCTCGCTACTGGCTCTCACCTATCGAGTCATCAAACGCCACGTCAACGGGCGTATCTGAGACCGCGCTCTGCGCAGCGGAAACGGCGGAGGCGGAGGCGGAGGCGGAGGCGGAAGCGGAAGCGGCGGCGGGGGCGGGGTTGCAGTCGTCGAGTTTCACCTTGCGGTGCTGCCCTCCGCCCGGCGCGCCCTGGCGCATCCGTGCGGGAAGGGGGAAGGGGAAAGGAAAAAAGCGGGGACGGGATGGAGGACGGGGGAGAGAGGAGGCAGGAGGCTGAATGAGGAAAAGAGAGGGCTTAATGCAATTCAGGCAAAGAGACTGCCGACTTCCGAGTCGAAATTGAGATGCCATCATCCGTATGAGGCGCCTCATCCGAGCACGAATGAGGCGCGATGCTGAAGAAGAGGAAGGATGAAGAGCCACGGGCGGGTGGGTCAATATCAGGATTGTTACCTCGGCGGCTAGCGGGAATGTCTTTCCGCATCCCCCCAGCGCGTGTCCGCCTAGACGCGCGGAGGTGCGCGCAGCGCGCGTGTCCAGAAGGGAAACAATCTCCGCCTGGGGGGGCGGCTGCGCCGATTGTTGCGCTGGCTGTTGCGCCGAAACCGCGGCCGCTACTTCCGCCTGCGCTAACTCTTGCGACGACAGTTGCGCCTGCACCTGCTGCTGCTGCGGAACCCGCGCTGCCAACTGCGGCGACTCTTGCGGCTCTTGTTGCCGCAATTCTGAAGCCACTGCTGGAGTGGGTACCTCACCCTGACCCACTGCGGATATTCCAATCACAGGCCTTTCGACCGCCTCCGCACCCACTGCTGGGTTCCCCCCAAAAGCTACTGGCTGCGCTGACTGCTGCGCCTGCGCTTCCGCGGAGCGCGCGTGCGCGGGGCGCAAAACTTGCTGCTGAAAGTGCTGCAGCAGTTGCTGCTGTTGCTCCTGCAGCCGCTGCAGCTGCTCCTGCTGCTGTCGCTGCTGCAACAGCTGCTGCTGCAACTGCTGGTGAAGCAAGTGCGGCTGCAGCTGCTGCGGCTGCGCAGTGTTGGGGGTAAGCGCGGGGAACATCTTTTGAGGCGCCTCAGTAGCCTGCTGCGCCTGCTCTTGCGCCTGCTGTGCTTGCGCCGCGTTGGGGGCGAGCGTGGGGAACATGGTTCCCAGCGCAAGGCTGTCGGGGGCTGGCAGAGCGCAAGTGGGAGGGGGGAAGACGGGGAAAGCGCGGAATATACGATTGTGGAGGAGGGAGGCCGGAAAGCGGGGTTAGGAGGGAGTAGAGCGGACACGAGGATGGAACGAGGAAAACGGAGGAGGAGAGTGGGAGTAGAGAGAGAGAGTAGAGAAGGCAAGTCGAGAGGGCTTGGAGAGTGCGCGAACCTGATGGCTCCGCGCTGATGACTGGCTGACTGGACGGCTTCTGCTCCGGAGCCGACATTGCGAGACTCAACGACGACTGCGATGTGCACGCGGGAGTAGCGGGAGGGGGAGGGGGGGGGGGGGAGAGGGGGGGGCGGATGATGAGGTTGACAAGGTAGTGAGCGAATGAAGGAGGGAGAAGGACGCGAGTAAAGGAAAGGAATGTCAAGGTACGTCGCGCTGTGAGTGGTGGTTGCGTTATGGCAAGGGAGGGAGGGGAGGAGAGGAAGGGGGACCGGAAGGGACAACAGCGCAGATGTTCGAAGCGGGGAGTTATGAGAAACACGAGTAGGAAACGAAAGCGGGGGACGCAGAGCGGAGCGGAGCGGAGCGTACGGGGAGAATCTCAGCGGCGGAGAAGAGAGAGTATAGCAGCGCGGAGATGATCGTAAACGCCAGCAGCGCCGCGCACACGCGCTGCCACCGCACGCACTCCCCGCAGCAGTGCGCCCAGCACCCCTCGTCCTCCTCGTCGTCCTCCTCCTCCGACGAATCCTCCTCGTCCTCCTCCTCCTCGTCGTAGGCTCCCTCCATCGCCGCCGGTCGCCATGGCGGCCGCACTAGGCGGCGGCGCTCCTGCGTGTGGTGGTCCCACGTGGGCCCAGAATCCCGGGGAAAGGAGCGGCGCGGCTGCTTGGAGAGGTGTTTGGGGGTGCTGCTGCGATTGCGGCCTCTTACAGACTGGTTAAGCCATTTGTCCCCCATCGTGGATAACGATATTGGTTGGCAGTGCTAGCGGGCCTACCAAGCCTAGAGGTGCTGGCGATGCTAGCGATTCTGCCGACACCCAAGATGCTGCGGATCTAGGCGGGCGGAGGAACAGGCTAGAGTTGGTGTTTAGATGCTTGACAGGGAACTGTTAAGATCTTAAAGTCGTTAAGAGATTCGCGCAGCTAGATAAGACCAGATCGGCAGTGGCTACTCGAGACGAATCTGAAAGAACAGGCGCGTGTTACTTTGTCCCCAGCAGGAAGAGAGATTCTCCTGGCAATCACTGAAGGTCGAGGCACGGAAACTGCGCTATATATCTCTACGCAACCTTATTCTTGCTAATGCCGCTGACCGAGTCTCTATGAACGTGCTGCCAAGTCACAGGTGTGATCGAAACGGAGCTGGGGTGAAACTAAAAGGGAGTAACAAAGAGAGGGTTGAATGTGGAGAAAAGTGATGGCGTTCATGGATGGCTCGAGAGTGTCTCATGTGATAGCGGGTCATGGGCATCGAGCACGTGCAGGGCAGGGAAGTAAGGTAATAAGGAGGTGCTGGTTGCGGGGCGCTACTGCTGGTGCTGCTGCTCACTCTCAATGCTGCCGGGGATGAAGGGAGGCGCGAGAGGGTGTGGTGTGGAGTGAGGGCGGGCGGAAATGTGTTCGTGAAGTCGTGATGGGGGAGTTGTGACTCGTGACTCTCTCGCCTGGTCAGCCTTGTTCAAATCCTTGATATGTCTTACATTGGTTGTGTGCACGAGAAGACATGCGCGACTCGCGTGTATCGTTTCTTGCGACTCGTAAATTGCCCGTCAATATGATGGACGGCTTAGATGTGATTTATCGACGGTTCAGAGAGCCCAAGATGATTAGTGTGCGGACTGGAAACGTTTTGTTCTGCCCCCATCCAAGTGTTTCTCGAATCCTCGTGACTGATGCTGAGTGGAGCCGCGTCGGGGGTCATTGTGTCGAGGGCAGGGGGAGCAGTGCTCGTGTTGAGTCGGCGCGTGACAGCACGTCGCGCCGCCAAGGGCTCCCTGGGATCTCCGCGTTCAATGGTTCCTGACCAAGGGTTGGTGCACGATCAAGGGTTCCAAAACCAGGGTTCCATCTCCCTTTGTAATGCCACACTCGTTAGGATCTCGAATGGCAGATGTGACACAAATGCAGTCAAGTTTTCTCAAAGCATAGAATGAGGGAGGTGCAAGTACAGTAAATAGTACTACTTTGCTGTGATGGAACACTGAAGTTGGGAACTGTACCATCAAGTCAACACTCTCTTGGGAGTGCTTCGTTTTTGTCAAAGTATTCTACATGAACCCAGCTCCTTGTGAATGTATGAGTGGACAACTGTAACACAGGCCATATTTCATTATTTTGAGGTCGCAGCGCAACCACGGCCGCCAGTGATTAGGGTCTGCGCTGGTCACCTCCTTAGATCCTCTCCTGCTAATGCGGCGCTGTAACGAGGCCGTTTGCTGCTGAGAGGAGATTTGGTTTCATATCATGGCACAGATATATTAAGTCACATCGTCGGCTTCTTCCAGTCCGATTTCGTTTACATTGTTACATTTCCGCGTTGCCCTTCCCCACGAAAGCACTTGGCCTATTCGTCACGCATAGGGATCAAGTCGAGTATAGCATGGCGACGGCCCACGACGAAGAAAATCGCGCATTGAAAGAGGCGCTCCTGCGTCGCATGCGACCAGGCGAGCCCGCTGCGACGGTCGATGTCTTTGTCGCAGAATTCGATGGCGTGCGATACCTACTTAAAGACGAGGATGCATCCACTATTCTCCTCTCCGTACACCTTCCCCAACACACTGCCGCAACAAGCGCCACAGATCCCGCGGATGCAGCCGCCGCCGCAGCGGCGGTGATCCCGCCTGAACTGGCGACCAGTGACGGGTTGCCAAGTGGCGCGATGGACGCGGTAAACGCGGCGTACCGTGGGATCGCGACGGTGCTGACGCCGCCGTCGAGCAACTACCACCTTACCCTAATGGTGGATCTTAAGAAGCTCCCGGAGGAGCAGCAAGCGCGCGCCGCGATCGCGGCGAAACTAGCCGCGGTGCGGTCAGTCGTCCTCGGCGCGCCGCTGCGCGACATGCTGACCGCGCTGGCGGAAGGCGGAGCGGGGGAAGCGAAGGGCTTTGGGGGGGAGGCTGCGGGGGAAGACGGCGCGGGCGGGGGGAGCGCGATGAAAGCCATAGTGCACCGGCCGGGGGAGGTGTTCTTCGCGTCGCTGTCGAGCAAGGGCGATCACGTGAAGATCGTATTCCCCGTGCACTTCCATGATCCGAGCGACGCCATCCTCGCTGCCGCCTTCCTCCAGGTGCGTCGGGTGCCTCAGGTGCCTCAGGTGCTTCAGCTGCTCAGACCTCCTGGGACCTCATGGGACCTCCTGGGACTCCTGGGAACGTCCCTATACGCGCCCAAGGGCGCAAGGAGGGGGGGGCGCTGTCACGGGCACTGCGCTTTCTCCAACACGCTCCTAGCAGATATGAACGGCACGCCAGCCCCCGTGCCCTCACCCCGTCCCCGTCAATCCGCATTCGCGCTCCTGTCGCCCCCAGGAGCTAGCAGAAGCGCACAAGATGTAAGGCGGGGGGCTGTCAAGGGCTGCACCCTCCCAGAGGACCTCAACGGCGCGTCAGTCCCCTTCGCCCCCCCTCCTCACCCATTTCAACCCCCCCTTTCCCTCCCCCCTCCCCCCCCCCCCCCCCCCCCCCCCCCCCCCCCCCCCACACACCAGGAGCTAGCAGAGGCGCGCAAGGGCGGGGGCCTGTCATGGGCGCCCGAGTGCTCGTTCTCGCGCACGCTCCCCCCCGACCTGGATGGCGCGCCGGCGCAGTACCTGACGGCGAACGTGGGGTTCGTGACGCTGCAGGTGGGTCCGAGTGGGTCCCAGTTAGGTGCCATGACTTTACGTGCCTGCTTGTAGACCTTGTGAAAGGTCGGTGCACCAGCACAGTACCTGACGGCGAACGTGGAGTTCGTGACGCTGCAGGTGGGTCCGAGTGGGTCCCAGTTAGGTGCCATGACTTTACGTGCCTGCTTGTAGACCTTGTGAAAGGTCGGTGCACCAGCACAGTACCTGACGGCGAACGTGGGGTTCGTGACGCTGCAGGTGGGTCCGAGTGGGTCCCAGTTAGGTGCCATGACTTTACGTGCCTGCTTGTAGACCTTGTGAAAGGTCAGTGCACCAGCACAGTACCTGACGGCGAACGTGGGGTTCGTGACGCTGCAGGTGGGTCCGAGTGGGTCCCAGTTAAGTGCCATGACTTTACGTGCCTGCTTGTAGACCTTGTGAAGGGTCGGTGCACCAGCACAGTACCTGACGGCGAACGTGGGGTTCGTGACGCTGCAGGTGGCGAAGCGGCACGTGGAGGGGCCGCGCGTGGAGCGCGTGGCGTGGCACGTGTGCTCCTTCCACTCGTTTGTCGCTCACCACGTGCGCCGCGCCAAGGGCCTGCTGCACACGCGCATGCGCCGCCGGGGGGATGCTCTCAACCAGGTGGGAGTGGGGGGGAAAAGCGGAGGGGATGCAGTGGGCGAGGTGGTGGTGTGAGTTAAGGCAAGGCGAAGTGGGGGATGGAGGGGAAGTGAGGAGTAAGATGTGATGGCTTTGGACGTCCGGGAGTGTCTCATATGCAACGCCCAAGAGTTTTGGCTAATATGGGAGGAGGGCATGGGGAGTAGGAAACGAGTTGAGAGTGGAGGGTGGGAGGGCGAGCGAGGAAGGGGCCAAGGTGGGGTGTTGTTGAGAATCGTCGCGGGGAGTAAAGGGTGACCTATGAAATGACTCGAATCAGCTGTGTGGGATCAGTCAAGAGTGACTCAAATAGAACTCATGGTTGATGAGTGCAGGGGTCTGTGCGAGAATGGTCATGCCTTTGCTGCTGCTTTGCCACCTTTCCCTGCTCTGCTCTAGCTCTGTCGTAGCGGATGTGTTTCTCGCTTTGGCCCTTCACACGCATGTCTAACTGTCTGATGCCTTCCTCCCGTTCGGTTTCCTCCTGTCGACCCGCCCATCCCCCCCCCCCACGGGCTCCACATCAGATGCTACACCCGGAGCTCCAGCAGCAGCAGCAGCAACAGCAGGCGGCGGCAGGGGGGGTGCCTCAGGGCCGGCAGTCACCGCTTGCAGGAGTGGATAAGGCTCCCCTGCGTGCCATGCAGCATCTGCGCCTGCGATAGAGATCCTCTTTCTTTCCACTCTTACTATATTCTGTCTCTCTCTCTCTCCCTCTCCCTCTCCGTCTCCCTCTCCATCTCCGTCTCCGTCTCCCTCTTCCTCTCTCTCTCCCTCTCCCTCTCCTTCTTCCCCCCCCCCCCACCCTCTCCTCTCTGTTTCCCTGCACTCTTCTGCCCCTCAATTCGCTCTCCACTCAGCCACTCCCCCCACCCACACACTTCCCTGCGCACCTGTAGACAACACATTTCCACTGTCTGCGCTGGTAGTGGATTAGATTACACCGCAAATGTTGCTTGAGCTACTCCCGGTTGAAACCTTTCTGCGCACCTGCTTAGCAAGGAGAGCCTCTTGCACACATACAAATCCCGTCTGCACTGCAGCCTTATGACTTCTCAAAGCCAGGCCTCATCTTTATGTCATCCAGTTACCGTAGTACAGTATATGACCAGGGAATGCTAGTATATGAACAGGGAGTGCTAGCAGAGGTATGGCTTGCTGAGACTCTACTGCAACATCTGAACAGGGATAACATGCTAAGGTTACCGTAATTGAAATGCTCTCTTCGGTGAAGTGCGCGTGATGGCAGTCTTTGGGAAATACCGCAGCTGAGAATGCTAGATAAGGCACTGCCTGAGAATGCTGTTTTTGCCTGGTAAAACTAGTGAGAGGTTTTGGGTTTAGGGGAATTTTCAGTGTGAGCCTGATACGAGGTAATCTTGATATGAGGTTAGGAACACGCTCAGAAGGTTTCAAGTTCCCAATGTACAGAGTCTGATGCCACATGCCACATACGATCTGTGCCTCAATCAACCCCTACATCCACCCCAGCAGCTACAGTGAATGAATCAAAAACACAGCTAGACTGCAATAGAGGAGCCCAACCGACAAACTCCTTCGGCAGGAAGAAGATCAACCAAACTTCACTTGCTCCCTAAGGGAGACAAGCAGAGGAGCTCGCCAGTCGGGATTCCCGACCAAGTCCTGTCCTGAGTCCTGCCAACTCTGATGGAGCCAGGCACGCAACAGGAAGCCTGAGCCCTACTGCCCAAGTATACAGAGTGTCTACGACTGCTCGAGGAATAGAGAATGTGCCGTGCAGACTAAACGTGACACGTCTTGGCCTTTTCGCAAGAATCGTCTGCTTCCAACTTGTCGTCTGCCTCGCACTGATCCATCCGGCATGGATGGGTCATGGGGCTCGGCACAAGCAAGGTGATAGTAACCTTGCTCGCCCTACTCCTTCCTTCCCCGTGGGCAAGGTTTGCTGTTATGGCATACGCCCATGGAAGGAGTGGTGAGATAAGGTGAGGTGAGGTGAGGTGAGGTGATGTGAGGTAAACAAGGTGCAATCTTGGCCAACCCCATCTGCCCTTGAGAATGGCGTATAGCAGGCACTCCCTCTGAGTGCACTGCCCTTGAGAATACCGTACGAGAGGCCTTCCTGCTTTCCAGCAGCCGCACCCGTGCCCGTTGTGCCCGTTGTGCCCACCATGCTCGTTTACGAGAGGTCAAACGAGCCCTGCCCCTCAAAGATTGCATACAGCAGCCGCTGCTGCATCACCTCCTGCTCACGGGATGGGACGAAGGATGTTTATTCGAGAGGAGCCAGAACGAGGGTTGACGCGAGTGGAATCAGAATCCAGACGCAGTCCCCCCCACCCACCCACCCTCCTTGCGATTGAAAGAAACAGAAGAACCTCCCAGCACCCCACCAAACCATAAAAAAACACAGGAAAGGCTACCTTCAGAAGCACAGAACCAGGCCGGACAAACAGAGGCTATGAGAGCAGCAGCTAAGGGAGCAGCACACAACAAGAATCCGAGCAGCACACAACAAGAATCCGAGCAGCACACAACAAGAATCCGAGCAGCACACAACAAGAATCCGAGCAGCACACATCCAGGAAACAAAAAAAAAAAGAGCAGCATGCATTGCATCGTGGGGGGGCAGGGGAGCACACACCTGGGAGGAGTAAGGCGGCAGCTTGAGGTAGTTGGCACAGGTCATGACACTGGGTAGATCCATATCACTCGCTGCCATAGGCGACCCCCCTGCACTGCCCGCTCCCACTGCTGCTGGCGGGGAGGCTGTGGAGGTAGAGGGTCTCCCCGGTGATGATGATGGGTGCTGGGGTTGGAACAAGGGGGGGAAGAGCAGGGCGGAGCAGGAGAGATGAGTTGAAGCGAGGACAGGGTTGGGTTGTGGCATGCAAAAAGGATGCGGGTGGGAGAGAGTTAGGGGGAGAATGTACGACTGGAGACAGTCTATTGACCACTGCTCACCCCTGCTCACCCCGCTGCCCCCTGCAGACGCACCTTTCTGACGATGGTGAGCTTGGGGCGCAGCGATGCAAGCCCTCCCGGTGGCAGGCAGGGCGCACCCGTGACAAAGCGCACAAACGCCCGCTGCTCCTGTGGGGTGAAGGCTGCTAGAATGCTCAGCAGCTGGGGGAGAGGGGGAGGAGGGAGAGGGGTAAAGTTGACAGGGGAGATGCAGGGAGGGACGGGATAGGGTGAGAGATTGCATTGAACGGAGAGCTAGGTGGGAGGAGAGGTTGACGAAGCGGGGAGGGGAGGTGGGGCGTCCTATTCGCGGCATCCTGGGTCAGGCTTGACGGGTTTGAAAGGGCAACAGATGGCTTGTGGAAGCCTGAGTGGGTAGTCTGTAAGTTCAGTGCGTGACGAAAGGACTCACAAAACCCAGCCTGGAAAACGGGGCGCAAGGTGACGTTGGCGAGCGCAGACGAGGTCGAGAGGTGTATGTGTTATGGGAGACTGGAGAAGGGACGGGACGGATGGTGGCGGCTTACGTATTTGATGGGTGCGCTGTCAAGCGTGTAGCCATGATCGCACTTGATGTGCTCTGCTAGCATCTCCTCCTGTGTACGCCATCACACATTGACATCACACACACACACACACACACACACACACACACACACACACACACACACACACACACACACACACACACACACACACACACACACAAAATGACACTTATACTATATATTCGAGATGATTTTGGCTGTTATTCAGATAGTTCTACACGATTTTTTTTAAATGGCGACACCAACACGAACAGATGAACCAATGCAGAAAGATACAAGCGAGAAGAGGACGAAGCAAGGCATGGGCACGTTTAGCCTCCACTGCCCACCCACCACCTGCCCCACCACACTCCCGGTTCCACCCACCACCTGCCCCACCACACTCCCTGTTCCACCCACCTCACCCACCCTCCACACAACACCCACCGTCCACACCGCACTAGACAGCAAGGCAAGGCAAGGCAAGGCATGACTCACGGTCCACATCTGGCGATCTCCGCACACCAAAGTGTCTAGCTCATACTCCGTGAACACTTGCAGTGAAGAGAGTGAAAAGACCTGTGGCGAGTGGAGGAGGAGGGAGAAGAGGAAGAGGAGGAAGGAGGGAGAAGAGGAGAAAGGGAGAGGAGGGAGGGAGAGGAGGGAGGGAGGGAGAGGAGGCAGGACACAGGGCTCGCGATGATTCGATTGTTTAGTTGTCGACTCATAAGCCGTTGAACTTAAGAGCCGGTGCCCTACAGACTGAACCAGGCGCCACGCAAGGGTGATCAAGCAATGCAGCTGCTTCTGTGAGAGGCATCGCACGCGCACAAACAGTACACTTCCCATCCACCTCATTGCTCCCTCTAGCCTTCCCTCCCCCCCTGCCCTACTGCCCTCCTACCCCTATCTTCCTGCATGCACACACACACGCACCTGGTTAAAGCCCTGCTTGAAGGCGGCGACCTGAGCAGCAATGCCTGACCCCACCAGTGCATCCACCACCAGGTGCAGATACTCCGCCACATTCCCCTCGCCCACCTGCCAGGCCATGAAAGGTGATGCACATTGCAGATTGAAAGAGGGGGGAAGAGAAGAGGCATCGAGAGAGGGGGGTTTTGAGGCCCACGAGTGCAGCCACCACCAGGTGCACTCCGCTACATTCCCCTCGCCTACCTGCCAAGCCGTGCACGGCACACATGTTAAACGGGGAGGAAAGAGGGGGGAAGTCAACAGTCAGAGAGCTTTGAGGCCCACGAGTGCATCTACCACCAGGTGCAGATACTCCGCTACATTCCCCTCGCCCACCTGCTCCGCGATATGATGCCGCACCTAGCATGGGATTGAGAGGGTGGGGCGGGGAGAGGGGTACGGAAAGGGGAAGGGCGGAAGGGAGAGTGGGAGCAGGGATGGGATAAGGGGGAAGGAAAAAGGGGAGGGGAGATGCGCACGAAATGACATTTTCGCACAAGTGTACGCAATGGTGTCCTGTGACCAAGGTGTGAACACAAGTGTCAAGTCAAGACAGTCACGCAACGAAGGGAAGAGCCCAACCCATCTCAACCATGGGTCGGACTATCAAGTGTGAAACAGGCAGCAGGCAGCAGGCAGCGAGGAGACAGAAAACAAACCTCAATGTCCTCTCCGCCCGGCTTGAGCTCATAGGAGGGGTCGCCTGGGAGAGTGAAGTCGAGACACAGGTCCTCTAATAGCATGCCCTCTGGCAGCAACCCATGCGCCACCACCACACTGCCGCCACTGCTGCCCTCTCTGCTGCCACCGCCGCCGCCGCTGCTGCTGCCCGTGCCGTCAACATCCCTGCTCGCAGCCGCGTCAGTCGCTGCAGCGGAACCGGCACTTGCACCGCTGCCACTAGCAGCAGCGGCAGCGGCGGTGGCGGCAGGGGCGAGGGCGAGGACGCGAGCCACATGCGCAAGCATCTCGAGAGTGCTTCCCAGAGCAGGGTCAAACAGGCGCACGTCGTACAGCCCTAGGGGCTGCGGGGTGGAAAGGGGAAGAGGGGAGGGGGAAGTGGGACAACGGTGTGAGTGAAGCGGGAGCTAAGGGAGCGGCACGGCAGAGGCAAACGATTTAGATCTGGTGCAGCGATACACAAGCCCAGCAGCCAGCCCAGCCAACCGTCCACATCATACAAACACCAACACCCAGACGCCAGCACACAAGCGCCAGCACAAGCGCACACCACACCAGCATTCACAGACAGACAGCCCATCCACGTACCTTATCGAGCAGTAGGCGGTAGAAGGCCGGGGAGAAGCGCATGTCCAACAGGCGGCCGTCCTGCAGCGACTTTGCCATGAGCCGCCCCGCCATTCTGAATTGCTCTATCACCCGCTCAGGCGCCTCCCTCCACGGCCGCGGAAACAGCCCCTGCGGCGCCAGTACCATCGTCTCCTCCCCCTCCCCCACTCCCCCTCTCCCCTGCGCGCCCTTCCCTCCTGATCCTCCTCCTCCCCCTCCTCCTCCTGTGCGCGCCTCTGCTCCTTCTCCCCCTCCAGCTGCAGCAGCAGCGGTGCCAGCGCTTACATTGGTGCTTGCTACAGCTGCAGGCACGGGCACTCCTGGGCCTTCTTCTGACCGCCACAGGCGGAGGGAGCGCCGCTGCAGCTGGTGAGATAGTAGCGTGTAGAACTCGAGAGTAGGACCCAGACCAGTTCCCACCTCCCCGAAATACTCTACTTCTAGCACTGCCTTATGCCCTGCATACAACTCCATGACCTTTGTTCCTGACTCCAGTATATGCTCACGAGACACCCGCACCTTCTGCCGTTGCAGCCGGATCGGCCGCAGTTCCCGCCGCCTGTCCCGCCCATATGCCCCACCAACTCCCCCTCCTGCTCCGCCTCCTCCTCCCGCTCCCCCTGCTCCTCCTCCTGCTCCCGCGCCCGCCTCCCCCGCCACCTGCTGCTGCTGCTGCTGCAGGCGGTGCAACCCTCGAAGGAGGTCAAAGGCAGTGCAGTAAAAGTAGTGGCGGCGGAGAGGTAACGGAAAGAGGAAGGGGAAGGAGCGCGGGAGTGCATGCGCCCAGTCGGGAAGCGAGTCGCTGCAGAGAGAGAGCGCGTCTTGCAGCTGGCGCTGCAACTTGGTGGCAATCTTGGTGTTGAGAAACAACTCCGGAGGAACTGCCATGTGCTGCTGGATCTGCAGGAGCGTTGCTGCTGGCGACGTGGGGGAGAGGGAGGGAGAGAGCGGCGCGGAGAAGGAGGAGGGGGAGGCGGCAGCCTGGCCTGGAGCAGGGATCGTGGCGTAGGGGGTGGAGGGAGTGGTGGGAGCAGCAGCAGCACCAGAAGCAACGCCGTCAGCCGTCTGTCCCAGAATGAGCCTGGGAAGCCCAAGCTGCGTGTACAGGATCTGCTCGAGCTGCTCACTAATGCCTGCTGCTGCTGACACCCCATCATGGTGCGATGGCGTTGGCACCTCGTCAACATCCATCTCCTCCCCTTCTTCTATCTCCTCTCCTTCCTCCCTCTCGTCCTCTTCCCCCCCAACAGCTTTCTCCTCTGCAGAATCACCCTCAGGGCGAGCACAGGCCAGCACAAGAGCAGCAGCTGCTGCTGCCTCCTGCTGTAGCTGGTGGGAGGAGCGAGTGAGTGCGTGCAGTGTGTGCAGCAGCAGCAGCAGGTCTCGAACCACAGAAGGGCAGGAGGAGGCGGAGGGCAGAGGGGTGGAAAGAGAGCCGGTAAGGAGAGTACGCACGGGGGAGAGGGACGGGTTGATGGAGTGTGGCAAGAGCAGAGATGACCCTTCCACTGTTCCTGCAACTGCAGCAGCAGCAGATGAAGATGATGATCCTAGTCCGGATGCTTCAGCTGCTGCAGCTGCTCTCTGTGTGTCGTTTGCGACTGCCTCTGACGCAGCAGTAGCAGCAGCATCAGTTGGAGCTGAACCAGCGGCAGCAGAAGCAGCAGCAGCAGGAGGCACTGTAGAGGAGTGCCGATATACAATCTCGTGAATCCCATCCCACACCCCTTGTATCGCACTGCCTCTGCCCCTCCCACCGTCCCTGCCTCTGCCACTGCCACCACCACCGCCGCCGCCGCTGCTACCGCTACCGCCACTCCCACGACTACCATAACCCAGCCCATACCCATGCCTTTGGGAAGGCGCATGCGCATGTGCATGCCCATGAGCATGCGAGCCATGCCTGCTCTGCTTAGACGAGTTGCCATAAGGGTGGGTATACCCATACCCCATGCCTCGAGACCTGTGACCCCCCCCCTCAGCATCCGCACTACGCCCCCTGCTGCCTGCTCCCCCTCCCCTCCCCCCCAGAGCCAGCCCAAACTCATCTGCCATAAACCTCTCAAACTCTGCCACGTCAGCGTCATCCTCCTCCCCCTCCGCCTCCCCTTCCTCTTCTTCATCCTCCTCGTCGTCTTCATCCATCTCCTCCTCTTCCTCTTCCTCCCCCTCCTCCTCTTCCTCTTCCTCCCCCTCCTCCTCCTCTTCCCATTCTTCCCCCTCCTCTCCAGCCCCTGTCATCTCTACAGGTTCAACGTCTCCTTCTTGCTCCTCCTCTTCCCCATCCTCCCGATCCTCCTCCTCACCTTCCATACTCTCGTCAACTTCCCCTTCCTCCAATTCCTCCTCCACCACCACCAACAAATCGTCGTCTTCCTTCACCTCCCCCTCCTCTACTTCCTCCTCTTCCTCTTCTTCCTCATCCTCTCCCTCCTCCTCCTGCTCCTCCCCGCCTCCCTCCTCTACATACATTTCATTCCCCTCTCTGCCTGGCTCTTCACCTTCTTCCACCTCCTCCCCTTCCTCTTCTTCCTCCTCCTCAACATCCTCCCCTTCCTCTTCTTCCTCCTCCTCATCATCCTCCCCTTCCTCTTCCTCTCCCTCCTCTCCCTCTTCCTCCTCCTCTTCCTCCTCTCCACTCTCCTCCCCATGCAACATCATCATCTCATCTTCATCCATCTCTTCTTCCTCCTCCATTTCCTCCTCCTCCTCTTCCTCACCTTCCTCCTGCAACCCAACCTCCTCTCTCTCGCCCTCCACCCCTTCAGCCATCATTCTCAACCCCTTCACAACTACACTCAGAATGGTGGCAGTAGGATCCAAGGGAATCCCTCGAAACGAAAACACCAACCGATGCTCCCCAGGCACAGCAGCAGCCACTGCCGCCCCCCTCTCACCTCCTGTTCCTGCGCTCCCACCTGCTCCTCCCCCCCTTGCTTCTGCACCAGAAGCCGTTGCTGCTGCAAGAGCAGCGCTGCTGCTGCTGCTGCTGCTGCCGTTGCGCCTTCCACCTGTGACTACTGTGCTCTCAGGCACAGGCTCAGTGAGTGGGTTCCCTGCCCTGCTGCTACCAGCACCTAGAGCACAAGGCAAAGCAGAGCTCACACCTGCATCCATCGCATGTTGCTGCTGTTGCTGCTGCATTGCCTCTGTTCCTGCAGCAGCTGCAGCACCGCTTGACCCTGCCGCCAATCTCTCTCCACTCGCTGCTGCTGCGACTGGTGGTGTCTGGGAGCGTGCTGAAAGGGAGGACTTTAGCCGACCACCTCGGCCACCCAGCTCCCCTTCCTCTGACTCCATGCCTGCTGCGTTAAGTCCGCTCATCAACTGCTCATACCAAGCCATGCCATGCCACGCATGCCATGCCAGCAACGTGGAGCGTCATACCATGCCCACCAGGGTCGCAATGAGGTTGCGACCAAGAAGAAGCGCACAAAAAAAAAGGGTAAAAAGGTGAGGACTTGTGATAAGTGATGGCAGGTCAACCGACGAGGTCTCGAAACAATCCAAGGGAAGCCAAACGAATTGAACAGACAAGGAAAACACAAAGCAACTCAAGGGGCATTGAACAAGTCAAGAAAGAATAAACAGCAGTGGAGCATGCAAGGTGAATGGCGAAAAAGGTGAGTCTCAACAGTGTGAGCAGAGATTCAGCGCAGGCACTCGAGATTCAGCAGACCACTTAACATGCGCTCGAGATTCAACACAGAGATCTTTTGAGGCGCCTCAAAAATGAATGGCAAAAAAGGTGAGTCTCAACAGTGTGAGCAGAGCAGGCAGACCAATGAACATGCGCACGAGATTCAAGACAGAGAGCCAAGGGCATCAAGGACGTACGGCCATGAGATCTGCAAGGTCGGAAAGCGGCTCCTCCTCACTCCGCCGCTGCTGCTCCTCTTGCCCTGCACCCGCACCCTTCGCCTCCTTCCTCTCATCCTTCCCTTTACCCTTCCTCCTCCTCTCCTTCACCTCCCGCCCCTCCTCCCCTGTCGCCTTACCATCAGTCCTCTCCTTACCATTCCTTGACGCTTCTCCCTTCCCATCATCGCTCCCTCTTCCCTTCTCTCGCCCCTTCTCAGCCCTCTCCCCCGCCCCACCCTTGCCACCTCCCTTGCTTTCCTTCTTCCCCTTCCCCCCACTCCACCACCCGCGCGCCATCCCCAAACGTGACTTCCCCTCACCCTTCTCCCCCGCCCTCCTTTCGTCCTCCTTCCCACCTCCCGCACTCTCCCCCGAAGCATCTTGTGCCACACCTCTCTTACCCCTCGCCTTACCACCGCTCTCCTTGCTCTTCCCCATACCATCCGCCTCCTGCCCTCCTGCCCCCTCTCCCTCCCTGTCTTTCCCCGCTCGTTTCGATCGAGAACCAGATCCCTCCCCCTTCTCTCTCCCTTTTAGCGCGCCCCACCCACTCTTCCCTAAAAAATTCCCTCCACTCGTCCCCTCCTTGCTACCCACATCTGCTTCTTCTGTCTTCTCTGCTTCCACACCCTTCCCTTGACTCTTCTTGCACTTACCACCACCATCGCCATTACCAACACCTGTGGCAGCAGCAGCAAGGGAAGAAGCAGCAGCGGAAGCAGCAGCAGGAGAAAGGGAAGCACCGGCACCAGCAGCTTTACCCGCTGCTGCTCCTTCAATCTCGCCTTCCTCCTGGTCCATAGCACGCGCACCCCTAGTGGCCTCTTCCCCTGTTGCCACCCTGCTTGGACCAGCAGCAGCAGCAGCATCAGCACCAGCACCAGCAGCATCAGCCGCACCAGGAGCGCCAGCAGGAGAAGCAGCAGGAGCAGCAGCAGCAGCGGTGGTGGTGGCGAGAGCAGGCGTGGCAGTAACAGCCGCCACATGGTGCGACCTCCTCACTCTAGGCCACAGAAACTCCTCCACTGCAGTCAGCGTCGCCAACGGCTCTATAAGAACCACATTCGACGAGTAATCCCGCACCGACCGCTCGCACCGCTCGCGCACCAGCCGCAGCTTGATCGGCTGTGACAACGCAGACAGCCCAGACACCCCACCAGCCCCCATCGGTCCTGCTGCTGCAGCCGCCGTTGCAGCAGCAGATGCTTCTGCTGCTAGCAGCGCCACTTCTGCTGCCCCTCCTGCTGCTCCTCCGGACCCTCCCGGCCAGCGAGGTAACCCGTGGGCGCCTGGCTTACCTGTTCGTCCAGGTATAGTCCCCCCAGGGCCAAGGCCTAGATTCGATGCTCCTGTGGGGCCGCTGGAAGTGAAAGCTCCTCCTCCTGCCCCTCCGGGCAGCTGGAACAGCTCTGTTTGCAACACTGCGAAGCGCTCCCGTGCTGCTAGTGCTGCTTGCAAGCGCTGCACTAGCAGGTGGACGGAAACGGGTGGAGAAGTGGTGAGCGGGAGAGAGGACGCGAGGGAGAGGGGGGAGGATGGAGAGGAGGAGGTGTGCAGGATGGTGGTGGTGGCGCTGGTGGTGGTGAGTCTAGGGGTGGAGTATGGGAGTGAGTGTGAGACTGGGGATTGGGCGAGTGGGAGAGCAGATGAAAGTATAGCTGTGATGATCTGAAGCCGAAGGACCACCTCACACCGCCGCTGCTCCTGCTGAGCCCACCAATCCAAGCCTGACACCTGGCTCCCTCCTTCCTCCCCACCGCCGCCGCTGCTGCCAGCAGACGCAGCAGCAGGGCGAGAGGAGAGAGGAGGGGGAGAAGAAGGGGAGAGGAACCGGAGCATGGCAGAGGGCACACCCCCTTCCACTAGCTCAAACGTTGTCACTGACACCGACCCGTTCCTTCCCATACCACCACCACCACCACCAGCAGAACCACCAGCAGCGCCACCAGTCCCTGTGCACCTATCTGCGAGCATGCCCAGCACCTGGCACAGCACAGCCGTGTCATGCCTCAGTCGTTCCACCATCTCCACAGCCCACCCCCTTGTCGCCTTTACCACCAACCCGGTTGATTCCACCCCCTGCTTCGCCTCACTTCCCCAGCCACAGCTCGCCTTTGCTTTCAGCCCCTCGGATTCTGCCCCTGCCGCTGCTGCTGCCCCTGCCTGTCCCTGTCCCTGTTTCTCTCCCTGACTCGGCGTCTCTCCTCCTGCTTCCTGAATCTCTCGGCACAGAGCCTGCAGTTCCAGCAGCCCATCAGCAGCACCGGAGGGCTCATTAGCCCGCCATCCCATGGGGAAGAAGTGCTCATGTAGTTGCTGCGCCTGCGCTGCCACTGCTGCCTGCACCGCTGCTGCCGCCGCCGCTCGAGCCGCCGCAGGAGATGCTGCTGCTGCTGCTGCTACTGCTGCTGCTGCTGAGGACGCTGGTGAAGCAGCAGAATTACCGCCACCACGACGTGGCACTGAAGCCGCAGCCGCGGCAGCGGCGGCAGCTGCTACTGCCGCAGAGGTACTGGGACGCTGCTGCTGCTGCTGCTGCGTCTGCGTCTGCTGCGTCTGCTGCGTCTGCTGCTGCTGCTGCTGCTGGTCGTGTTTTGTTGATTCACCAAGCTCAGCTGCGTCTTTCGCGCCCGGCCCATCTGCTGCCTCTCCCTTGGCTTTGCCTCGTTTGCCCATAGCCGCCATCCAGCGAGCAAAGCTGGGTGCGCTTGACCCTGGTGGGGCCGAGGAGCCAGCAGCATCCTCAGCACCAGCAGATGCAGCAGCAGGTGCAGTAGCAGACGCAGCAGCGAAAGAAGAACTGCCGGAGCCACCCAAGCCCTTCTTCTCTTTCCCTGCTGCTTTCCTGCACCGATCTGAGTGGACCCCGGGCGAAACTGCAGCTGCTGCTGACGGTGATGATGACGCTGCTGCATGCTTGGCAGGGGTAGAGGACGCAGGCGCACTAGCAGAATGCTTTACAGCATACTTCTTGCCTGGTTCCTTCCTCACTGGCGCTGCAGGAGTAGGAGAAGCAGCGGCAGCGGCAGTGGCAAAGGCAGAAGCCGCGGGTGGAAGAGGGGAGAGAGGAGGTGGACGGGCAGGAGAACGAGCAGTGGCAGAACCACCAGTACCACTACCACCACCACCACCAGACGAACTTCTCTTGACAGGGGAGCGGCGGGATGCGGGAGAGGAGCCGGCAGCAGCAGCAGCAGCGGCGGTGGTACGAGCAGGGATGAGGTTTTGAATGGCAAAGAGTGTGCCTTCGCGCGAGAAGGGCAGGCGGAAGGTTTGTGCGTCTTTGTGCAGCAGCAGAGAGGCGATGCGTAGCGCTTGTAGCTGGAGAGACGCGTCCTGGGAGGAAAGGACGTCCGCCAGGAAACTGGGGAGAGGATGGGCGGGAGAGAGAGAGAGCGGCGTGATGAGCCAGAGGGGTAATGGGGTCGATATGCACGGGGATTGATGACTGGAAAAAGTTCCAAGAGGGGAGAGGGGAGGGGAGGGGACTGAAGCGTTAGGGAAAGCTAATCGTATATCGGGTCAGAAGAGGAGAGGAGGGAAGCCGCTGGGGGGGAAGGAAAGGGTGGCAAGTAGGGCAACAAGGAATAGACAGCAGACCAGGCAGCAGAAATGGCAGCAGGGGCAGCAGGGGGGACGGGAGAGTACCTAGCGATGGAGGAGGCGGGTGGGAGGAGGGGCATGGTGGTGGGGGTGGAGAGCAGCAGCACGTTGCAGATAATCTCGAGACACTTGTGCCGCACTGCCACGTTCATTGTCGCTCCATACGCCTGCCATACAGGAGCGGGGGCGCACACACACACATGATGTTTGTTTTTGCCTTTGCTATTTACTTGTTTCGTTTTTCCAGTGCCATGAGAATCGATCCGCCTGTACGCCATCCACCCCAGCCAATGCAACAAAGCTACAGTGGCAGCAGCAGCAGCAGCAGCAACAGAAGCACGCACCTGCATGATGAGAGGGAACAAGTCAGAGACAAACGGAGCCAGCCCCTCTGGCGCCTGCTGAAACGCCCTCTGCCTCGCCCGCTCACTCATCCCCCTCCCCTTCTCCTTCTCCTTCCCCTTCCCCTTCCCATCCGTCTCCTCCCTCTCCTTCCCCTTGCCCTTCCCTTCCTCGCTACCACCACCAGTCACAGCTGCTGCAGCACCGTCCTCTCCTGCCCTTTTCTCCTTCCCATTCTCCTCCTTCTCACTCTCCTCCTCTCCATTCCCCTCCTCGCCTTGTGTAACGTCCTTCTCCTCGCTCTCATCACATGATATGTCCTCAGATAACACCTCCCCCTCCTCCAGTTCCTCCTCCACTGCACGTGGCAGCAGCTCATTGGCTAGAGCAAGAATCTCGTACACCTGTGCAAGGAACAAGAGATTCAGGGATGGGTGTCCGGGGAGACGAAGCAAGAGGGGAAACGAAGGAAAGAAGCCAGGAATGAAGGAACAAAAAGAGAGAATTGGACCCAAAGCAAATTTTAGACATTAAGGACAGAATGAGCAAGAGAATGAAATGACCGAGTGACAGTGAGAAGATGGAGCAGAAGGAGCAAACAAACAAAGCTCTCCCACTCCCACATCCACGTGCTTCATTTCATTTTGAGGCGCCTCAAAAGGCACCTCAATGGACGAAGCTTTCCCACATGCACATGCTTCCATCCTTCCATTCATGCATGCATGCATGCTTCTCCAACACCACTGCCACCAGCAACCGCAGCATCTCCCAATCGACAAAATCATCCTCTTATCTTTCCCCTTCCTCCTCACCTCTTCTACACGCCTAACTTGACAGATTGGGAACATAACGGATTCGAAAACACCAACACGACAGCCCTTCCTTCCTTCCTTCCGCATCCACACGCCTGCTCAAACTTGACAAGATTGGGTATTCAAAAAATCCAAACCGCCCACACTACAACCCGTCCGTCCTCTCCCCTTCCTCCTCACCTCTTCCACAGGCCTGGTCAGCCCTGGAGGAGCAGCGGAAGCAGCTGCCACTGGTCCCAATCCCCCTGCACTCCCCCCTCCGCCACTCGATGCAGTCACAGCAGGAGACACGCCGGCAGGGCTAGTAGTAAACCCCAATGGGGTCGCAGATGCATCACCCACAGCAGCAGCAGTGGTGGAGTGTGGAGGGGCGTGGAGGCCCGAGGAGAGGAGGGCGTTGCGCAGGAGGCGGATAATGTCTGCTGATAGCAACGTCTCTGCTGCTCCTTCCGCTTCCCGCGCACACAGAGTGAGCAGCCGAAGCAGACCCTGGGAGGAGGAGGAGGGGGGTCGGAGAGGGAGATACGGGAAGCTGAGAAAGGAGGGGTGGAGGGGGTATATAGAACTACAAGGGAAGAGGTGCAGAAATGGGTTGTGAAACAGTAGAGAGGTGCAATAAAGCGATGTGATCAGGAAAAAACAAAAAGAAACGCAGAAATGCACACACAGACCCACACACACGCACGCACGCATGAACAGAGGAGAAGGGAAAACAGCATGGATGCAAGCAAGAGCGTCAAGAGCGTCCTCCCTGCATACCACAAAGGTCGTCGGAGTAATGTTCACACCCCCTCCCATGCCCCCGCCAGACACCGCTGCACCCCCCACCCCAGCAGAGGTGCAGGTGGCGGCGAGCAGGCGCACAGCGTGGGAGATGAGACCCGAGGAGGCACAGAGCGTGGCGAGATCCTCTGGGTTGGCCGAGACCACGAGGGCTATGCGCGTCAGACAGATGCACGTGCTCTCTACCACCTGGGGGAGGGAAGGGGGGCGTAGGGAGGAAGGGAGGGGGGGATGGTGAAGCATTTGTTTGTTTGTTCGCTCATTGTACTTACTCTCTCTGGTTTGCGCTTACAACACCAACTCCTACTTGTAGTCGGAACTACCGTACTAGGCCCGTTTAGATCCTGCAGAAACTACTGTGTGTGAGTGAGATGCAGAAAGAGACAAATAACAACAAGAGAGAAGAAGGTCGGGAGCGGGGAGGCTGGAGGGCAGAAGAAACTCCTGCGCAGATAGAGATTGCACGGGAGAAAAGAGGGAAGAGAGGAGGAGAGCGGAGAGTGGCAAAGAGATGGGCCAGACGTGTGGGCCAGGTGCAAGAAGTGGTTGAAACACGCACCTTGGCGTCACAGTGCTGCAGCATGTTGGCGAGCACGGGGGATGCCTCGAGCAGCATGGGCACACAGTCAGACGGCACGTCCCGGCACACATTCGCTGCCGTGCGCGTCGCCACTTGCTGCCACGTGAAGAGAACGGTGCAGGCAAGGGGGAAGGGGAAAGGGGGGATAGGGGGAGAGGGGAAACGGTGGGGCAGGGGAATCCACGGGGGGAGAGAGGGGGGAACGGGTGGGGTAGGGGGAGCGAGAGGGCAATCGGGGAAGTAGGCAGTTGGATGGAAAGGCAAGGAATTTATTGAGAGAAAGGTATCCAAGGATGCGCGAGGTAACGGAAAGAGAGGAGGTGAGGCAGGTTGTGTGAGAGCAGTGGAGCGAGAAAAACGGGTAGATTTCTGTGAGTCTCGTTCAATAAACCCAAATCATGTGTGCTACGCGGCGTGACTGAGTGAAGCACTGAGTGATGTTGAAAAAGACATATTCATCATTTCATTCCTCACTAAGACACCGGCCAGAGCACTGACCTGGATGCTGGTGGAGAAGAAGTCAAGATGGGACAGAACGGCCGTGAGCGCACCCGCGCGCAGGCACGCTGAGGGATGTTCGTGAGACACCTTCTGCAACGCTTGCAGCGACTGAAGCAGGAGGACATTGGAGGGCAGGGAGGGTACGGTACGGTACAGGAGGGCAGAGAAGATCGATCAAATCGAGACGGAATTGAATCAAACAGATGAGCCTACATAACAGACGGCTTGAGCTGCATTACTGACTCAAGCAGCTGAGAAGGAACAAGCCTACATGGCGTGGTGGTGGGAAGACAGAGACACAGACAGAGAGGTAGAGCTCAACTCTGGCTGTTTGGAAAAACAAGTGTCGCCAGCCAACACAGCGTATGCACACCACACATCTCTGCTACCCACCCCCCCCCACCCCCCCCCCCCTCTTCTTCCCCCGCCCAGAGCCCCACTTCCCGATCCCCTCTTCACCACCCGTTCCCCCACCTGCACTGCCAGGTCGATGTATTCAATAATGAGCAGACGCGCGCAGAGCGACGGCACAGCACCGTGGTGCACTAAAGCGGAGCACCCACTACTGGGCAGCACGTCAGTTGAGGCGCCTCAAAGGCCTTACCTGCTCTGCAAGGTCGATGTACTCGATAGTGAGCAGGCGCGCGCACAGAGACGGCACAGCCCCATGGTGCACCAACGCGGAGCACCCACTACTGGGCAGCACGTCACAGAGATACGTGAGCGCATTCGCCGCGAGCAGCATGGCGTCCGGGCAATACTCGCACTCCAGTAGCGCCACCAGCGGCGGCACAAACGCGTCTACAGGGAACGACGCGAGAGACTCCTCTGTGCCGATCAGCAGCAGGTCGCAGAGGAGAGAGAGGGACTCTAGCTGCCGGCTTGTGTCGTGCTCCGCGGATAGCCCTGCTAGGATGGAGCGGTATCTCCCGCCCTGCGGCTGGGGGAGATGCGCGCGCGTGAGCGTGTGCGCGTGCGGGGGCGCGGGCGTGGGCGCAGCTGCGGAAGACGGCCCCGGGGCGGACGCGGACCCGCTCCCGCCTGCACCCCCCGCGCCCCCACCCCCGCTACCGCCGCCGCCGGCGCTGCTGCTGGGGCCGCCGCCTGCTGCTCCTGTGGCGGCGCCAGGCGCGGACGGAGACGGGAGGAGGTCATCAATGGAGACGGAGAAGCGGCGGAGCAAACTCTCCAGAGCAGTACCAGCAGACGACGTGAATGACTGTCTGAGAGCTGCTGCTGCTGCGGCGTTCCCATCGCCATCGGAATCAAGGCCTGACAGCAGCCCACCGGGTCCTAGAAACAGATCGTCCCCGTCGTCGCCTCCTCCATCCTCCGCCTCCCTCTCCTGCTCGCGCTCCCTGTCCCTCGCTCTCTCACGCTCCCGCTCTTTCTCTTTTCCCTTCTCCTTCTCCTTCTTCTCCTCCTTCTCCTTCTCCTTCTCCTTCTCCTTTTCTCTCTCGGAGGAGCGCTTGCTTCTGGATCCCTCCTCGTGCCCAAACGACTTGAAGAAACCTCTATCCATGCTCCCCCTTGCAGTGTTACCACCACCAACAGTTCCGCTCGCTCCGCCTACTCCTCCGCCAACTGCGCCACCTGCGGAAGCGCTCACAGCAGGGGCACGTGCACTCGCCTTTGCACCCGCGGTACTGGCGAGACCAGCCGCCGCAGCACCCACAAGGGGAGCGGAACCGGGACGAGTGAGGATGGCGCTAGTGGTATTCGCACCACGCGACGACGCTGTGGTTGTCGCAGCGGTCGCACCAGCTTTCGCGGCAGCGCGTGATTTCGCCTGATGCGAGTCGCGAGATTCCGCGCGATGAGCGGAAGACGGGGGCGCAGCGAAAGTGACGCGACTGGTGAGCCGCTTTGCGGAGGGCGGGGAGAAAGCGGACGGGCGCGCACGCGCGGAAGAAACTTGCGCAGAGGGTTGTGCGGATACGGACGGGGGAGATACGAGAAACGCGGAAGTGCGAGAGATCGGGGGATAAACAGCAGCGGCGGCGGCGGCAGCGGATGTCTTAGCGCGCTTTGCGGCCGGCGCGGACGACTGGTGAAGAGCAATCCGACGGCCGACGGCCGACGAAGACGGAACAGCCGACGGAGACGACGACGAGACACGAAACCAGGATGAAGAAACAGGAACGGACGAGCCACCCGCGGTGACGGCGGAGCGCAGATGGTGGCGGGAGCGGAATCTGCTCCGCGCGGAGGATTCCTTCTCCTGCGCAGCCGCTGCTGCTGCCTCAGCCCTCTTACGGCCACCGCTACCTTCCATAAAAGCTTCAGCAGTCGGGCGCGCGAGGCAGAGTCGCCTCGCCGTCCGATTCCATGTACGAGCCTAGGGACCGCGTGATGTAGCCGAACAGACGCTGGGTGGCGACGGGAGAATTGTGGCAGAAAAAGAGCGAGCGTAGGAGTGCACAACCAACGACGACGAGGATTCGCGAGCGTCGACGAGCAGATGGACGACGCGGCGATGAATTACTGGGTGGAGGCACGACGAAAAACAGAAACCAGAAGCTGATCCCAGATGAAACGCAAAAGTCTGGTTTGTGGGACAGCGCTGGCTAACTGGTTTGTGCAGGAATGAGCTAGGGAAGGAAGGCACACGACAGCGATTGGCAAGGGAGAGGATCTGAGGGTGAAAAAGAGAAATGGATGATGGAGTGTGGAGGAAGGAAGTGGGAATGGATTGGAGGGGCGGACCACCAAACTGAAAGCATCATCGAGGGCTCGTTTGGAGTAGCCAAGGGCTGCGAGGCACGACACCACAAGCAACCTCGGGAGAGATTCGTTAAGAGAGGCTGGAGATGAAGTAGGTGCACTAAAATTTGTTCGTAGCACAAGCTATGTTGATTACAAAATCTTCCCCTTTGAATGGAGGAAGAATTCTTGGAACCGGCAAATGAAGGTAATGAGCATGGCTGCATATATTGAAACTATATGCTAGAAATTCATAGTGCCGGCGTAGCGGAAACGTGTTTGTAGAAAAGAACAAGATAGAAATCTTGCATTGATCATTGAAAAGTAGAAGGATGACACAATGATAACTCAATGATAATGAAGAAGTGACACAGCAGGGTATATATGCATCCAGCTACCCCTCCAGAATGACCCCATTCACACCAATAATGGTGTACCAATAATTGTGCTGATATAACCAAAGGATCAAGTAGATAGGATAAGATCTGCTAAGTCTGGGAGGAGACAATGAAGTCTCTGTGGTGACCTTGTTGATGAGAATTTGATAGAGAACAAGATGAAGATACGATGGAAGTACAAGGATATAAATAGCATTCCTAGCTAGCCATGTACTCTGAGGGGTACATTCCCATATTAATTGAATTGCATTGCTACAGTAACCCACGACTATTGCCATTCTAGACAGTTACCATGTCGCACTTCGCAACTGCCTCGTGCGGTTACTGGACAGTCGAGGGTCACGACCGTTGACTGTCTTGGACTGTTGACCTTCAGGTGACCCTCGACCTTCCGCGTGCTCTATATAAGTTATTGAGGTACTGGTACAGACGTGCGCTTCGTTATGGAGTGACGTGTCAGAATGTTATAATTATCTAGCCTGTAGTGGGGTGCTCTATAGCGAGTACAACCCTGTTAGGGTTTGCTATATGTATCCAGGCCTCTTGATATAAGGGTGAATCACCCTTATGACCCTTACTATAAGGGTGTGTTCTGATTCGGACCCTTACTTTACAAAGTGGATTTTTTTCTGACACTTACAGGAAAAAGTGAATATGTTTAGGACCCTGATATTTCAGAGTGAAGTGGTGCAGTCGCACTGATCGGGAACATACATCCTCCTCAAAAAGTAAAGTAGCTCGAAGAAACCGAGTCATATGGACAACTTTGCCCACCAAATGCCTCCCACAAGTATCGATATCGCATCCCATTCACTAAAAGACCCATTGTGCTAAGTCGTCACGCCTAAAATCTACTAGTTATTTTACATGAAAAGTTATAGTTTGGTTTAAACCCTTACAAAAAAGAGTGGTGCTTGCCTGGTACCCTTACAGAAAGAGTGAAAGCAGCTGGTTACCCTTATGAGAAAGACTGGTTCAAATCCTATCCAGAGGCCTGTATGTATCCCAACTGCTGCTAGTGAAACTCTCCTCTCTTCTTCATTCCTCAATTTTCACATGCTATCAGAGCATCTACGGTACTGGCCTGTGGGCCCACCTAACTACTTCCGCTGCTACTCTGTGCTCTGCACGCCCCGTGGCGTGCCCCTCGCGCGACCCTTAGTGGCCCCGTCGCCACCTCTCGCGGCCCCGTCGCCGCCCTTCTCGGCCCCTCGCGGCCCCTTCGCGGCCCCGTTGCCGCCCCTTTCAGGCCCCTCGCGGCCCCTTCGCGGCCCGTCGCCGCCCTTCCAGGCCCCTCGCGGCCCCTTCGCGGCCCCGTCGCCGCCCCTATCGGCCCCGTCGCCACCGCCAGCGGCCCCGTCGCCGACCCTAGCGGCCCCGTCGCCGCCTCTATCGGCCCCGTCGCCGCCGCCAGCGGCCCCGTCGCCGACCCTAGCGGCCCCGTCGCCGCCCCTATCGGCCCCGTCGCCGCCTCCAGCGGCCCCGTCGCCGCCACTTGCGGCCCCGTCGCCGCCCCTTTCGGCCCTTCCTCGACCCTGCCCCGGCCCCGCCCCGGCCATGCTCCGTCGCCTGGCGCGGCGCACCGGGGGCACGTGCACCGCCCCCCCCCCCATTTTCCCGTCGCCCGTCGCGGCTCCCTCGGGGGCCGCGACCTGGGGGACGGGGGCGAGCGTCGCCCCTTCTGCCGCCTGCTTTGGCGCCCTGGGAGGCCGCGCGTCGGCCTCCCCCCCCCCCCCCCCGTAACCTCCCTACCCGCCGTCCCGCCCTGCCCTGTGTTAGGGTTTGGGGGTGGCGAGTAGGGGGTGGCGGGTGTGTGGTCTCCCCTGCTCCTCCTCCTCCTCCTCTGTCTCCTACTACTGCAGCTGCCGCTGAGGGGGGTGGGTGTGTGGGAGTTGACAGAGTGGTACTAGGGGGTGGGGGGTGAGTGAACCTAGGGTGCAGCAGGGGGTGTGTGAAATTGGGGTGACGTGGGAGTGAAGCTAGTGGTGCAGCAAGGAGTGTGTGAAAGGGGGGGTGGGACAGTTGGGGGAGGTTGAACGGAGGCTGTCGTCGTGTCGTCAGCAGCACCAGTAGTCCGGGGCGCTGCTCCGGTAGCCCAATCGTAGCCAGCTGCGCCAGTCGCCCGTGGGTCCGTTGCTCCTGCCACTCGTCTATAGCCGCGGAGCCAGTTACTCCAGTAGTCTGGGGCGCTGTTCTTGTAGCCGTTGTGCCACTGTGACTCCTGTTGCCCGTGTGTCTGCAGCTTCAGCCGTCGTTTCCTATCTCCTCTCCTCTTACAGTCTCGCCTCCTCCTCCTCACTTGCCCTTTGTGAATGCCTCTAGCTTTGCTTGTCCTTGTGAACTCCTGCTCTATACCTGCTTGCTCATTGTGCTGATTACACCCCAATTTGGCTATGGGGGTGTGTCAGAATGTTATAATTATCTAGCCTGTAGTGGGGTGCTCTATAGCGAGTTCAACCCTGTTAGGGTTTGCTATATGTATCCCAACTGCTGCTAGTGAAACTCTCCTCTCTTCTTCATTCCTCAATTTTCACATGACGCGGGAGTGAAGAACCTTCAAGAATGTTTATAATAACCTTTCAGTTATTCCAACACTCCCCTTCATTCCTGAAGGTGGGCCACGTGGGACTTCTTGGTGATCCCGCAAAGGTTGGCGCAGTGCTGGAACAGTTGACGTGGCAGTTTCTTTGTTAGGAAGTCGGCTACCATGTCACCAGTTGGGCAGTACGTGAGCTTGACCTTGCCCTTGTCAATTTCGTCCTTGACGAAGAAGTAGCGAAGGGCGATGTGTTTCGTGCGATTCACGAAGCCTGGCTTGTTCGCGATCTTGATCGCGCTCTGGTTGTCGCAGAGTAACGTGAAGTGTCCGTTCATTGTTACTTTTGCTTCCTGTAGGAGCTCCATCAGGTACAATCCTTCGCGAACAGCTGCGCTGGCGGCGATGAACTCTGCTTCAGCTGATGAAAGGGCGATGAGTTCCTTCTTCTGAGAGTTCCATGAAATGAGCCCAGCAGGTTGAAGTTGAAAAATGAATCCTGTGCGGGAGCGTCTGTTGTCAACATCTCCCGCGTGGTCAACGTCTACGTAGCCGTGTAGCTGCAAGGTGGCCGTTAAGTTAGCTTCGTAGGTGAGGCCGACGTCAGGAGTAGAGAGAAGTATTGCAGTGCTCGGCGTAGATCCAGTAGATTCTCCTCTTCAGGTCGCTTCAGGTACTGTGCGAGCTGGCTTGCGACGTAGGAGAGATCGGGCCGGCACGTGACGGCGGCGAACAGGAGACATCCCGGCTGCTGCTGATAGAGACGATGATCGTCAGGAGAGAGTGGCGTGGTGTCTGGCTCGTGGTGAGGAGGAGGAGTGTGATAAGGTGTGGTAAGGTTGATTGGTGCGATGGCAAAACGCTTTGTGAGTGTTTCGGCGTACTTTACGGCGGAGAGGTGGATGGAGGAGGCGGACTGAGTCACATTGAGGCCGAGAAACTGCGTGACGTTGTGATTGATCGTTACTTCAAGCTTCGCCTTGATGTCAGCCTCGAACTGGTCCAGTAGCTCCGTGTCGTTGCCAGTGTAGAGAAGGTCGTCGACGTAGGCGACGAGGAGAATGATTTTCCCACGCGATTCTCGCGTGTACACGCCGAGGTCATGTGGCAGCTGGGTGAAGCCGAGCTCAATGAGGACCGAGTGGAGGTACTGCTGCCACAGACGAGGTGCTTGTTTGATCCCGTAGAGGGATTTTTGAAGGAGACACACGGCGCCATTGCTTTCTTTGAATGCATGCGGTTGCTCGACGAAGATGATGGCGTCAACGTGGGCGTACAGGAAGGCGCTTCCAACGTCGATTTGTCGGAGTGGCCGCTGCTTGACGGCTGCGATGCAGAGAAGAATGCGCACCGAGGTGTAGCGGCCGACTGGTGCGTAGGTAAGAGTGAAGTCCACCAGGTGCGTTTGCTCAAAACCCCGCACCACCCATCGCGCTTTGTATTTGTCGACCGAGCTGTCCGCCAGGGTCTTAATGCGAAAGACCCATTTACCGCTGAGAATTTTGTCAGAGGTCCATTGGTGATCCTCGATTGATCCTAGGGAAGGGTTACATGCATGTTGGCCTGGGGGGTTATGGGCGCACTTACCCGCTACACAAACAAGCCCTTTTATCCCAGTGGTCTAGTGGCTGGGATTCT